CTTCTCACCCGGTGTATATAGCTGTATAGCTGTTTCGCTCATTTATCTGTCACGTACTGGCAAGTTCGTTCAAGAAGTTTCTGCTCTCCGAGGATTAAGCATCATTCATGATTGGTTTGTTGTCATCCTCTCTTATCTCCTGACTGTGTTGCTAGTTGTACTAAAAATTTTTCTTGGTTTCCGTTAAACATGGTTAATCGCATTTATTATAATATTTTTTATTGTATCGACCCTAGTAGGTTTACTTGTCCGCGGCAGCAGGTTTCTGTTTGAACTCCGGCTATACGACCTAATGCCATTGTCAGTTTTTATGCGGCTTTGGATCAATTGAAACCTGTGCCACGAAGATAGGAAACCACGTTGCTTTGGTAATTTAGTTTTGAACGATGAAACTTTGGTCAGAATTTTAACGGAAATAACACTGTACCTTCTTTCGTAGGCCTATCGAAAATCTACACACAGTAGAAAATGTAGATCTTCACCAAAAATCACTTTTGCTGTTTTTGTCATTTCTGTTTTGCTGTACGTCTCAGGTCCGGCCGTACTGAGAAGAGCATCTTTACCGCCACTCAGCGGGAATCGGCAATACTGATTTGTCATTACACGGACGAAAAGATATACAAAGTACCTGAAACATTATCCTTTAAAGCCAGACATCTGTGAGGTTCACAGGGGTAGGATTTGTGGTTCTACCATCTTCCATTTGTCGACCTGTTTTACTTCATGTATGCTTTATGAGATTTCCAGCAGTTTCGACCCGATGATCTGCAGTTTTGATAGGGTGTTTCCAGCAGCATTATTTGACGTCAAACAATGTGAGTCCTTCAGCATATATCATTTGTCCTTTGAGCGATCAATTCTCTGCGGCGATTCCTCTGATATTTCTTCTGGAAAGCAATCATTCGTTGTCTAAGAACAGGACCCCACTCTTCGATTTACCTTCGTTCGATTCGATTCTTTTAATCAGTCTTGTTATCGAAACACCGACAATCTGTTATGGTTTACCCTCGTACTAATGCTGTAATGGGATTACCATTCCCTGGTCGCTCTTTGGCTCTTGCACAGTTACGTTATGCTTTCTTAA